CAGGGTCTTGAAGGACAGATCTGGACACCCTTTTACCAGGGATGATGACATTCTTCGGCGATGGAGGGAGTACTTTGCGGAACTCCTTAACCCCGCGCAGCGGCAAGAAGACTCGCCTTTAGAGCAGAAGGGTACGGATATTACTATCTCTATATGGATGAAATTTCACAGGCTGTGAGAGGCTTGTAAAATGGAAAACCTGCCGGAATTGACGAACTTGACTCATTTTAGTTGATACTTACTCCTCCATCTGACCCTTCCAGAATGCAGCTCAAGGTCCCTGTCTGTCTGCATTTATGCTAAGACTGAAGTATATAAAAAACTTGAAATCCAACGGATGGCAATGATTCAGCGGAACGAAGAACGAGAAAGACCGAATCTGTGTGAATCGATACGCTCATGTTAACCTATACACTTAGATACTCACCGCATTTAATGTCACCCGTTCAATCCGTTCCCCCTTCATTATGTTTAGACATTGTCTTACTGTTGTGTACTTACTTGGGCTTGCAGGATATACGCATATCGTTAAAGTTAGGGATCATTTGATTGATTGATTTGATATTTACTTGCGAATAGTAGGGAAGACACGATGTTCACGAGCGGTCACATCAGAGTTCACGAGAACTGCGACCATTTTAGAGTCGCCGTTGGGCTGCAATTCTTCTAGCCTACGTCTGATGAGATAGTGATAGTGCGATAATCAGCATGAATCGTAAAGTCAATATTTTTCAACGGTCAAAGATCAACTAATTTTACAACGAAGCTTTGCAATGAGCATTCTTGAACAACATCTCTTACGAATCAAATTCATACTGTATTCTAAATTTGGCTGTGATCTCTCACGAGCTGGCTGTCGGATAGAAAGAAACTGTGTAAGGCAGCGGCAAACCTACATCGGTATGATAGCTAGAGTCAGCATTGATTAGGTTATGTAATAGGTTTTTTGCCGTATGGTTCGTCTAAGTGTTCGAAACGCTTATGAAACGTTGTCTTTCGTGCTGTGTTGTCGCTAAAGCAGCGATTCAACGAAGCAGCTGCTTGACCGTCTGCGGGTTGTGGTTGTTTTTGCCGACGTAGCAGTCGCCAGGTTGCTGGCTGGCCAGAACTGCTTGTCCCT